AAGTGGCGCTGTGGCTCAAGTGGTAGAGTGCTAGCCTTGAGCTGAAGAGCTGAGGGACAGCGCCCAGGCCCAGAGTCCAGGCCCCACAACCGGACAAAAACAAAAACTGGTGACTCACAACTGTAATTCTAGCTACTCCAGAGGCTGGGGTCTGAAGGATCCCAGTTCAAAGCCATCCTGAGCAGGAAATTCTGTAAGACTCTGATCTCCAATGAACTGACAAAAAGCTCAGGGACAGTGCCCAGGCCCTGAGTTCAAGCCCCAGGACTAGCACATACAAAAATAAAAATAAACTGCTCAGAATTGAACCTGGCTTCATTCAAACATTTCTCCTCAGACGGAAGAGGACCATGATAGTGTTAGGGACTTCTTAAAGACACCAGAGGTTATGACTGCTAGGGGGATGAGCATTTGAGGGACCCCCCTAACTCTCACCTCTCCTCCAGCCGCAGGACCTGCGGGGCTACGTTTTACAGGGTTCTGTGAGAGACTGCCCGGCTCTGGAAGGTTCTGTTGGTCTGAGTAACAGCGTGTCCCGCTGGGTGCAGGTCATGGTACTGAGCCGTCCTGGGCCTGCACAGCGTGCACAGGTGCTGGAAAAGTTCATTCTCGTAGCTCAGGTAAGGCCTGCCTTACTTTTCGGGGTGTCTGCCCTGCGGGCACGTGCGAGGTGCAGCTTACCTGACCTTCCCCTTGTTCTAGCCCACAGAAGCTCCCAGGCCCTGGGCGCCAACAGACCATTTCCTCCCTGCCCCCACAGTGACGTCATACACCTTCTGGCTCCGCCCCCTCATAACCCTACTCCCGAGCCACTCTCGCCCTGGCCACGCCCCATTGAGTCACGTCCCTTCCTTCCTCCCCCTCCCTTCTGGGAAAAGGGAAGCCCTGAGTCCTAGTGGCCACGCCCCCTTTCGTACTTCCACGCAGGCCACGCCTTCCATCACTTCCTTCCTCTTACTGGGCCCCTCAGACCTGGGGGTTCTGGCTTCTGCCAGGGTCTGAGTTTACTCTGAGCATCTTCTTTTCTGTCCTGAGGCCTCCCCCTCATCTCCCCAGCAACCTCTGCCCTTCAAGTTTGGAAAGGGGAAGGCTGAGGGACTGGCTGGTTCACTCTTATTTGTCTTTCTAACGTCTCCATATCACTCTGGCTTCATTTGCCTCTTGGGGTTCCCAGCTCCTCTCCGTGGCTCATCCCTTCTTCCTGGCTGTCCTCCTCATCCTCCTTTTTGTGATGGTCCTGGAGTTTGAACTTAGAGCCTGGATTCTGTCTCTGGGCTTTGTCTTTTGGCTCAAGGCTGGAGCTCTACTACTTCAGCCACAGCTCCACTTCCAGCTTTTTTTTGCTGGTTAATTAGAGATTTTTTAAAATCCCATGGCCTATACTACCCATGCTCGCTTTAAACTGTGATCCTCAGATCTCAGCCTCCTGAGTAGCTAGGATTACAGGAGTGAGCAACTGGCAGCTGGCTAGGTCCATGCCTTCTCAACACACTACACATCTGTTTGGCTCTCAGAGAAGTTTGACACACACACACATCCCTCACTCACATCTGTCTGAATCCTCCACACCTGTCTAGTCTCCAGTGTCCTCCGGTCTCCCCCTCCCATATATGCCTGTCTTTCCACACTTCTAGTCCATCACCTTCCCAGCATTCCCACGTCCTCCCACCTGTCCCATGGCACACACCCACACAATGCTGTCATTTTAAGCCTCCATCCTGCCTAGCCTGTGATGCCCATCATCTCTGACATCCCTGCTCTTCCTAGAGGCTCCGCCACCTGCAGAATTTCAACACACTGATGGCGGTCACCGGAGGCCTGTGTCATAGTGCCATCTCCCGACTCAAGGACTCCCACACCCACCTGAGCCCTGACAGCACCAAGGTGAATCCCCATCATCCTACCTAAAGTTCCAAGTGAGCCAGGCACCAGTGGCTCACGCCTGTAATCCTAGCTCAAACTAAGGATCAAGGTTTGAAGCCAGCCTGGGCAGACATCTGAGATTCTTACCTCAGAAACTACTGTGTGTACTGCACCTACTCACAGTGAGTGGGTGGTCCTGCACAACTCGAGGATACCAATTAACAATCAAAAGGTCGTTAGTGGCTGGGAAGGTGGCTCAGTGGCAGCACTTGCCTTGCATGCATGAAGCCCTGGGTTCAATTCCTCAGTACCACATAAGCAGAAAAAGCCGGAAGTGGCGCTGTGGCTCAAGTGGTAGAGTGCTAGCCTTAAGCTGAAGGGCTGAGGGACAGCGCCCAGGCCCAGAGTTCAAGCCTCACAACTGAAAAAAAAAAGCCATTAATAATTTGTCTTTGGGAGGGTAAGGAGGTACACAGAAATGGAGGGGCAAATAGTGAACAAATGCAGCAGTGGTACTCACTAGACACTATTTGAGAACTGAACTATACAACTTGTGGGTGGGGACAGGAGAGAGAGAGAGAGAGAGAGAGAGAGAGAGGATGACACTGTCCAAAAAGAAATGTACTGTGGGCTGGGAAGGTGACTCAGTGGTAGAATGCTAGACCCTGGGTTCAATTCCTCAGTACCACATAAGCAGAAAAAAGCCAGAAATGGCACTGTGGCTTAAGTGGCAGCATGCTAGCCTTGAGCTGAAGAGCTGAGGGACAGCGCCCAGGCCCAGAGCTCAGCCCCCACGAACAACAAAAAGAAAGAAAAAAAGAAAGAAGCCGGGCACTAGTGGCTCACGCCTGTAATTCTAGCTACTCAGGAGGCTGAGATCTGAGGATCGCGGTTCAAAGCCAGCCCGGGCAAGAGAGACCGTGAGACTCCTATCTCCAATAAACCACCAGAAAACTGGAAGTGGCACTGTGGCTCAAGTGGTAGAGCGCTCGCCTTGAGCTCAAGAGCTGAGGGACAGTGCCCAGGCCCAGAGTTCAAGTCCCACAACCGACAAAAAAAAAGAAAAAGAAAGAAAGAAAGGGAAAAAAAAGGAAGGAAGGGAGAAAGAAAGAAAGGTACTGTTTACCTGACTTTTGTAACTGTAACCCCTGTGTACACCAACAATTTTTAGAAGTTTTTAAAGCCATTAGAGGAGGTAAAGTTGTACAGCACCAGCCTTGAGGGGGAAAAGCCAAAGTGAGAATGTGAAGCTCTGAATTTAAGTCCCAGTCTGGGAAAAACATAATCATAATTATGAATATAAAGTTCCAAATAGTCAGTGGCCCTGAACTACCACATTAAACCTCCTAACCATCATCCATCCCTACCATGAGAGGGGAGAATGGGGACTTTCTGGGATGGAGACTTAAGAGGAAAATAAATTCTAGGGAGACGCTCAGGTCAATGTGTGGATCTAGAAGGGTTTGAGGGGGTGTCCCAAATGCCACAGGTCCCTCCCTGGGGGTTCTGGAGTCCACAGACAAGGTGGCTAGGCTACTCTGCTTGGAGAACTATCCATAGCCCATAGCGTGCCCCTTGCACACAGGCCCTGCTGGAACTGACCGAGCTCCTGGCCTCCCACAACAACTATGCATGTTACCGCCGCACCTGGGCTGGCTGCACGGGCTTCCGGCTGCCTGTTCTTGGTGTGCATCTGAAGGACCTGGTGTCTCTGCACGAGGCCCAGCCTGACAGGTTGCCAGATGGCCGCCTGCACCTGCCCAAGCTGAACAGCCTCTACCTGAGACTGCAGGATCTGGCTGCCCTCCAGAGACAGCACCCCCCCTGCAGTGCCAATGAGGACCTGCTACACCTACTCACCGTGAGTGGCTGGCCCTGCACAACCCAGGCACACCAAGACTCAGGGTCCAGGTGTGCAGGATCACAACAGATAGCATTGGAACTCATGAGCTTTTTGAAGCTAGAGCTTTTGAGGAGCTAGCTAGCTGTGCAGACTTTAGCAAGTCACTTCACCCTCAGTTTCCATGTCTGTCATGTGACAAATACTATAACAGGACCCACTTCAGGGAGGGTTGAAAAAAAATATGATTCATATGAAGTAGTTAAAAAAACAATCTGGGGCCTAGGTACATGGCTCAAGTAGTAAAGCACTTGCCTAGCAAGCCCAAGGTTGGATAAATGATAGTAGATAGATGGATAGAAGATAGATGGATGGATGGATAGATATATAAATCGAAGACAGATGGATGAATAGATAGAAGATGGATAGATGGATGAGCAAGGTGCTGGTGGCTCATGCCTGTAATCCTAGCCACCCAGGAAGCTAAGATCTGATGATCATGTTTCAAAGCCAACCTGAGCAGGAAAGTCTGTGGGACTCTTATCTCCAATTAACCACCAGAAAACCAACATGGTGCTGTGGTTCAAAGTGACAGAGCAGGATCCTTGAGCAAAAGAGCTCAGAGATAGTGTCCAGACTCTGAGTTCAAGCCCCATGACTAACAAAAAAGAAAAAAAAAAGATGGGTAGATGGATGGATAGATAGATAGATAGATAGATAGATAGATAGATGACATGGATAGATGCTCAGATAGAAGATAGATTCTGGAACCCAGTGAAATCTATATAAATGAGACCGGTGTCCATCTGACTCAAGTTCCCACTCCTTTGAGATATGCCAACAAGTTCAAATATCCAAGTTTTGATGTATCTGAAACTTAAAAACCTAACACCTCTTTACTGATCATTTGCTGAGTGCCAGGCATTGTGTCAAACCCTCTCATTGCACCTTACAACCCTAGGAGGTGGGCACTGTCTGTGTGCCCATTCTGCCAATTGGGACAGACGGAAGGCTAGAGATGTGGCTTACCCACTTCCCCTACAGGACTGAAAGTGGAATTTGAATTCTGGCCCTGTGTGTTAATACGTTAGCCTCTATGCCAAGTCCTGAACATTAGGGGTAGGATTCATGCTATTCATCGCCTGGAGATTTTTAGATTAGACTTTTTTTAGGTTTTTGTTTTGTTTTTGTCAGTCATGGGGCTTGAACTCTGGGCCTGGGCACTGTCCCTGAGCTCTTCAACTCAAGGCTCGTGCTCTACCACTTGAGCCACAACACCATTTCTGGTTTTCTGGTGGTTAATTGGAGATGTCTCATGAACTTTCCTGCCCAGTCTGGCTTTGAACCTTGATCCTCAGATCTCAGTCTCCTGAGTAGCTAGGATGACAGGTGTGAGCCACCAATGCCCAGCTAGATTGGACGTTTTGAGGACCATGTAGTGTGAGATTATAAAGTTGAATTTTCAGGCTGTAAAACCAGGCCCAGTGAAAAAATGGCAAGTGTGGGAGTTCTTCTAACTTATGAATTTTTTGTTTGTACACAATTTTTGGTTTGTGCAAGAGGGTGGGGTTTTATTGTAACGTATCCATTCATGCATACTCATGTGTCTCCATTACCCTCACCCCCTCTAGTACTGTCCCCCAGCCCACTCCTTCCTCTCAAGACAATTTCAACAAGTTCATTGTTTGCAGCCGGGCACTGGTGGCTCACATCTGTAATCCTAGCAAGGCGATGGGAAGTGAGGTCCAGGCAGGGACAGAGGATGTAAGTAACAGGATGGGGACAGACAAGGAGGGACCATAACGCTCTGCCCACCCCCACTGCCAGCTTTCCCTGGATCTCTTCTACACAGAGGAAGAAATCTATGAGCTTTCTTATGCCCGGGAGCCTCGCTGTCCCAAGAGCCTGGTGAGACCCAAGCCCTGGAGGGAATGTCTTGACTGCTTACCCCTGCTAGGTTTACACTCACCTAACTGTGTTCCCTTTGTCTCCTTTCAGTCCCTGTCCCCTTTCAAAGCACCTCTGGTGGTGGAATGGGCTCCTGGTGTAAAGCCCAAGCCGGACCAGATCACCTTGGGTCGCCATGTGGAGCAGTTGGTTGAGGTGAGAGAAGGGTGGGTCCTAGGGCCTGGTAAAATGGTGCCAGGAAAGAACACATGTCTCCACCTAAGCTGACAAGAGGGGACCCAAGATCCTGGGGCTAGACTTGGACACCTTGGCCTTCCCCTACCCTCTATGTGCCTCGGAAGTCTGTGTTCAAGAATTTCGACCCTGAAGGCCAGGGCACCATCTCTCAAGAGGACTTTGAGCGCCTCTCAGGCAACTTCCCCTTTGCCTGCCACGGGCTTCACCCTCCTCCCCGCCAGGGGTAAGTGCTCCTGACTCCTCAGGGTGCCTCTCCCCACCCCGAGAAATGGGGCTGAGCCTTGTGGTCTCTGGGAGGGAGGACTGGTTGTACTGAGTCCTGTCTTTGTCCCCAGGAGTGGCTCCTTCAGCCGAAAGGAGTTGACAGAGTATCTGCTGCATGCTAGTGCTATCTGCTCGAAGCTGGGCCTAGCCTTCCTGCACACCTTCCATGAGGTCACCTTCCGCAAGCCAGCCTTCTGTTACAGCTGCAGTGGCATAGTAAGGCCTCTCTGCCCCATTACCTCCCTGGGTTCTAGTGCTCTGTTAACTCAGAAGTTTTCCTAATTCAGTCAGGCACTGGTGCTCATGCCTATAATCCCAACTACTTAGGGAGGCTGAGATCCTTGGAACTCAGTTCAAAGCCAGCCAGGGCCAGAAAGTCCGTGAGACTCTTCTCTCCAATGAACCGCCAAAAAAAAACCTGAAGTAGAGCTAAAAATGAACCAAGGGGCTGCGCCCAGGCCCCTGAGTTCAAACCCCTGAACCAGTACACACACACACACACACACACACACACACACACACACAGGCCCCTGAGTTCAAACCCCTGAACCAGTACACACACACACACACACACACACACACGCCCCTCTCAAATTCTTGAGAATTTTCAAAACTTGGTGGCTTCCACCCATGTGGCCCGAGTAACCAATTCTCCTTTCTCTCCCCAGCTCTGGGGTGTCACCAAACAAGGCTACCGCTGTCAGGGTAAGTAAGTGAGGTGCCCATGAGTGGGAAGGACCTGAAAGCTGGAAGAATAAGGCCATTAACTGCTCCCTCCTTGCTCCCTAGACTGTGGTCTGTGTTGTCACAGACACTGCAGGGACCAAGTGAAGGTGGAATGTAAGAAGAGGCCAGGGGTCAAGGGTGACATGGGTACCCAGGAAGCCCCCATTCCAGCCATACCAATTCCTCATGCCAGATGTGGTAAGACCTGAGTGGAGCAGCCCTAGGAAAGCCTGGTGGTTGGGATCCATCCCATCATATCTCTTCCATTCATCACCCTTCACCCAGGCTCCCAGGAAAGTCTGGACCCTAACGCTAGATGCCACCGTCGCCATGCTTGGACACAGACCGAGTCTTCCCAGTCTTCCTGGGAGTCAGAGATGGTGAGGAAGAGTTCCCCCCCCTCTACCCACCCCCCCCAACTCTGATACATACAAAAGACATAGGCCATTTGCCTGGAGAGAAATCAGATTTCAGGGGCACATAAGAAAGTCCTTGATTGCTTGAGTGGGAGGTTGCAGGCACTGGCAAGGAAATAAAAGTTTCAATAGGGGCTGGGAAGGTGGCTCAGTGGTAGAGTGCTTGCCTCGCATGCATGAGGCCCTGGGTTCAATTCCTCAGCACCACACATGCACAAAAAGCTGGAAGCGGTGCTGTGGCTCAAGTGGTAGAGCATTAGCCTTTTGCTGAAGAGCTGAGGGACAGTGCCCAGGCCCAGAGTTCAAGCCCTATAATGAAAAAAAAAAAAAAAGTAAAAGTTTCAATATATCCCGGGCTCCTGTGGCTCACACCTATAATCCTAGCTACTGAGGAGGCTGAGATCTGAGGATTGCAGTTCAAAGCCAACCCAGGCAGAAAAGTCTCTGTGAGACTCTTATCTCCAATTAGCCACTCAAAAACCAGAAGTGGCACTGTGGCTTAAAGAGATAGAGTGCTAGCCTTGAGCAAAAGAGCTCAGGGACAGCACCCAGACCCTGAGTTCAATTCCCAGGACTGGCACTAAAAAAGTAAAAAGTAAGACCAAATAATATCTTAAAGCCACAACAAATATCAGTGGAGTAAATGCCACTCTTCAAAGGCAGAGACTGTCAGTTGGGTTTAAATACAGCCACTTAGCTATAGTCTAGACAAAGCCCAGTCCCTGGTAGTGAACTGTCAGTTGCCTAGATGTCTTCCACTCCCCTAATTCTGTCTTCCTCCTTCCAGGTCCCCTTACCAGCAAGAGTTCCATCATCCATGCCATCTTCCAAGCTAGATTCCTAGACATCATCCGGGGATTTTCTTACCACCGCTCCCCTCCCCTCCCACAAAGGCACTGCCTCAGCCCACCCACACAGCCTTTGATAAAGCATCCATCATCCCTTACCCAAAGTTCTTTCCTTCAAATTTCCTGTCTCACTGATTTTCCCTGCACAGAATCTGTGCAGTTCTGTATTCAAAGCACTCAAACTTAGCTATCTTTCTAATGTCCACTTCACAGGTATGGAGACTGAGGCTTGGTGCATTCAAGCTGCCAGTCCAGGGCCTGGGAGGCAAAACCCAATCCCTTGCCCTCTAAAATTGGAGCTCTGGACTCTTGTTCCACGCAGACAATTGGAATATATTGGGAGGGACCGGGATGAAGGTGTGCAGTTGAACATAGGAGCGATCTGGGAAGAAGGTCACAGCTCTATCCTGCTCAGAGGCCACCTGCAACTCCTCTCAGGGTCAAAGCTGGTCCTCACAGTAGCCCAGAAAGCCCTGTGAAATCTGCCCCACCCCCACCTCTCTGACCTCATCAATCGTCTTTCCCATCCAGCAGTAGTTAAACTGACCTTGCTGTTCTTCAGATAAGCTCCAAATTGCCTACCTCAGGACCATTGCACTGGCTGTTCCCTTTTCCTGGAACACTCTTCCCAGAGCCCTACATGGCTCCCTCTCTGGGACTTTGCTCAAGTGATAACCCCTTGATAAGGACCTCTCTGACCTCAGGAGATGCGGCCCTTGCCCCAGTTCTGGCCTTCCAGATTCATGTTTCCCTATAGCACTTTTGTCCTCTGACAAACTATACTTTTCACTTATTTATCATGTTAAATGTCTGTCCCTCCTTTCTGGAAATGTCAGTTCCAGGAAGGGGGTGGGGCTTGTACTGGTGGTGTCTTCCACTTCCACTGCTGGGTCCCTGGGGCTCAAAACAAGTCTGGCACAATGTGGGCACCAGAGAAGTGTTCATGCCCACTGGAAGGGAAGGGGGTATTGTCACAGATCCAAGGGCTTGTGGGTCACAGTGAGGCATAGTCCCTCTGCCCCTCCTCAAACATCTGGCCCCCACAGAGACAGGACCTACAGTTGTCAAAAAATTAAATTTATTTTCCAGAGAGCATGGTTCTTGGTGTTGAATGATATGTGGGGTATGGGACATTTTGGGGGAGACCTCCAGGACAGGGACTCTGGATGACAGGTACCAACTGTCAAGCTGACTCCCCAAAGATTACCCCCAGCCCCTTTTACTTCTTTTTCTTCTTCTTGTGACCCCAGCGCTGGTGGCCTGACTTCCACCCTCCTCCATCTTCCCTTCGCTTCTGCCAGATGGGCATGGGAGCCTCCAGTTCATTTGGGCGGCCTCCCCGGTCTGGCACGTTACCCATAAGCACCTGAGAGTAGAACAGAGTTGAGTTTTAGAGCATGAAGGAAAGAATTCTTTTTTTTTTTTTGGTCTGTCGTGGGGGCTTGAATTCTGGGCTTGGGTGCTGTCCCTACGCTCTTCAGCTCAAGGCTAGCGCTCTACCATTTTGAGCCACAGTGCCACTTCCAGTGTTCTAGTGGTTTTTATTGGAGATAAGAGTTTCACGGGACTTTCCTGCCCGGGCTGGCTTTGAACCTCGATCCTCAGATCTCAGCCTCCTGAGTAGCTAGGATTAAAGGCGTGAGCCACCAGCGCCCGGCTTGAAGGAAAGAATTCTTAGGACAGTGAGAACAGCAAGCAAAGGGAACAACATGAGGTGGAAGAAAGAAGGGCAGATGGCCGGGCGCCGGTGGCTCACGCCTGTAATCCTAGCTACTCAGGAGGCTGAGATCTAAGAATCATGGTTCAAAGCCAGCCCAGGCTGTGAAACTCTTATCTTCAATAAACCACCAGAAAACCGGAAGTGGCGCTGTGGCTCAAGTGGTAGAGCACTAGACTTGAGCTGAAGAGCTGAAGGACAGTGCCCAGGCCCAGAGATCAAGCCCCACCAAAAAAAAAAGAGAGAGAGAGAAGAAGAAGGGCAGATGGTGGCTACTTAAAGAGGTATGAGGGACTGGGAATGTGGCTTAGTGGTAGAGTGCCTAGCATGCATGAAGCCCTGGGTTCGATTCCTCAGTAGCACATAAATATAAAAAGCTGGAAGTGGTGCTATTGCTCAAAGTGATAGAGCGCTAGCGTTGAGCAAAAGAACTCAGAACAGTACCCAGGCCCCGAGTTCAAGCCCCACAATTGATACACATATAAAAAAGAATATAATAAGAGACAATGAGGTGGTAAAAAAAAGGAGTGGAAACAAACTGGAGAGGTGGACAATAGATGTGTAAACAAGTAGACTTTGTTTTAAAGCACTAGGGAGCCATTGAAGGGTTTTGAGCTAGGGAAGTCTATGTCAGATTTTGTTTTTTAATTCAAAAGACCCTTCTGTGTGGAGTAGGTTATAAGTGATGGGCTCAGAGGTGGAGAGTCTGGGAGACAGAGGACAGAGAGAGGACAGTATGGTCCAGGAGAAAGGCTGAAAGGCCAACTTGAAGGCCAAGGACACCATGACCCTTTCCCCCCCCATCCCACCCCCGTGCCCACCTTGTTGATGGCACAGCTGGTCCCTCGGCGGGCAGCCACGCTGGTGGCTGGGATCAGACGAGAAAGGTCAGCTCGGGCAGCCAGAACATGTGCAACAGAGACATCTGATTCTGGGGTCAGAAGTTCTCGAAGTGGGATCAGCACTGCCTTCATGGCTTCTCCTTGGGTCTGGAGTGAGGGGAGGGTCACACAAAGAAGGTGCCCAAGAACCCTGCTCCGGTAGGAACCGTTATCTTGGGACCATCTCTTCCCAACTTAGGACTTCTACTTTGGATGTGGTCTTCCCTCCCCTCCCCCCTGCAAAGGAGCATATGCTAGAAGCTTGGTCCTAAATACCACTTGGTCCTTATCACCACTGTGATAAGAAGTAATAAAACAGGCAGGTGGCTCACACCTGTAATCCAAACTACTTAAGTGGCTGAGATCTGAGGATTGCAGTTCAAAGCCAGTCTGGGCAGGAAACTCTGTGAGACTCATCTCCAATTAATCACCAGAAAACTAGAAGGTGTGCTGTGCCTCAAAGTGGTAGAACATTAGCCTTGAGCACAAGAGCTCAGATAGCATCCAGGTCCTAAGTTCAAGCCCCACAGCCAACATCAACAACAACAACAAAGGCTGGTGGAACCTTTAGAGGTAGTCTAGATCATGGGGTACTCTCCCTGGAGGGGATTAATTCAAGCCTATTGGGAATAGGTAAAGTCTCACAGGATTAAATTGGTCACCAAGAGCACTGGTGTTATAAAGAAAGCCACTACACCTGTAATCATAGTACTTGGGAGGTTGAGATTTGAGGATCCCTGTTTGAAGCCAGTTCAGGCAAGAAAGCCTATGAGACTCTTACCTCCAATTAAAGTCCAAAAGAACCAGAAGTAGAGCTGTGGCTCAAGTGGCAGAGTACTAACCTTGAGCAAAAAAAGCTCAGGAACAGTATCTAAGCCATGAGTTCAAGCCCCAGGACCCACAAAGAGAGAGAGAGAGAGAGAGAGACAGACAGACAGACAGACAGACAGAAACAGAGACAGAGAGATGGGGGGAGCATCACCCTGTATCATCTTCCACATGTACCCATTTGTTACTTGTACTCCTACTCTGTGATGACATCCACCATGTTATAACACAGCACATGGTCCTTGTTAGATCTGCATGCCCACATTTGGTCTTTTCAGCCTCCCAAATCATAAATCAAAATAACCCCTTTTCCTTATAACATACCCTGTCTCAAGTATTTTCTCATGGCATCACAAACACAACAGAGCCTCACAGGGGTATGTTCAGGAAGACAGTCCCAAGTCAGAGCTGGAAATTCTAGAATGCTCTAGAGACCCTGAGATTCTAGAAGCCCCAATCCTAACCAGATTCCAAAATGGCCTGGGCCATAGAACCTCCAAAGAGGTAATATTTCTGGCTCTTCTCCCTTCTTTCAGCAGCTGTGACCCCCTACACACAAGCAGTTGGGCCTTGATACTTCTGCCAGGGTCCTTTGCCCACACCTCTGCTCGATCGCTCCAATGGAATGCAGCTGTCGTGAGGTCCAGGCGCTTGAGAAGGAGGCAGCGGCGGCAGCCATATTGCTCTGTCAGGCTTTGGGACAGGGAGTCCAGTGCTTCCTGGGAGAAAAGATCTGTCATGCCAGGGGTCTCTATCCCTCCCTCTTATCTCTGAGTGAGGATTGTTCTTGGATAGAAATATACACTCTTACCCACTGTGGTGAATCCAGTGGGTGGCTAAGGAGGGGCTGCATGGACCCTGGGGGCATGGAAGGCAGGAGCTCTGAGATCTGAAGGGAGAAGACAAGCTAACTGAGGCAGAAATAGGATGGATGGATTACTCCATGGACCTGTTTCCCTTTATCCTAAGGACCCAAGCCACAAAAGCAAGAATGGTGGACAACAGCTCTAAAAGGCATCCCTGGGACTTGAGTGCTGGTGGCTCCTGTATGTAATCCTAATTACTGAGATCTGAGGATCACGATTTGAAATCAACCTGGGCAGGAAAGTCCTTGAGATTCCTACCCCCAATTAACCAGCAAAAAGCCAGAAGTAGAGGTTTGGCTCAGGTGGTAGAGCACTAGCTTGAGTGAAAAAGCTAAGGGACAGTGTCCAGGCCGGGCACTCAAGCTTCTGTACAGGCACAAGCAAATAAACAAAAAAGGATCTTCTGTCCAGGCAAGGTGGGGTTGCCCAAGTCGGGAGGGGACTCTAGCTCTCTACCTTGGCATGTATCTCTCGAAGTAGCTGGCTGGCAGGGGTTCTTGGCATGGGTTTAGGCATTCCCAGAGCTTGGAGGGTGAGCAACAGTTCCTGGACCACACCGGTGCCCTCTGTCCCTTCCCTAAGGGGTGGCACACAGCTGAGATCCTGCGAGGATTGCAGACACAAAAGACGAGCAGCCTGGAGCTCAGAGCAAAGAAAACCTAAAAATAGGAAAACGGATCCTCTATAGACATTATTTAAAAAAAAAAAAAAAAAGGGCAGCTACCCCCACCCATCACTTCGTTGTCCACACAGAACTTGGGGGCAGCCTCCAGAATAAGTCTAGCCCACTTGAGACCCAGAATTTCTCCTCCTCGGAATTCCACTCCCGCCCACTTAGGAACCACCCGCCAGGACTCCCCCAACCTCAATCCGCGGGACTCATCAAAAGTCTAGCCCTGCCCACTCCAGAACCATAACCCCGCCCCAAACCATCCACCACGCCCCTTTCGTGGCGTCAACAGAAAGGGACCGCCCTCGTTATTCTGAGCCCGCCCACTCCATATGCCTTAGCCACGCCCACTTCCGCTTGCCAGGACCACCCCGGAGGCTCACGCAGCAGGCGCAGGCCCGCGCCCGGCTCCCGCAGCGCGAGCGCGCGCCCTTCGCCGCAGAGCGCGCGGTCGGGGCAGTGCAACGCCCGCAGCAGGCCAGCCAACTGTCGCAGGAACTCGTCCTCCGCGGCCGGACCTGCTAGGACGCGGGAGATGTCAGGACGCGGGTTCCGCGGTTTGGACCGCGCGGCGCCTCCTCCCCCGCCCCCCAGCCCTCCGGTTCCAGCCACACGCACCGTCGCGGGCGCTCAGCACCTCGGCGCCTTCCTCTCGCTGCTCCAGGGCGCCCAGAGTCGCCAGCTCGGCCGCCAGCCGCGCGCACAGCGCCCTGAAGTCTGAACACCAGGCGCCCCGAGACACCGCCTCCGGTAGAACCTCATATCTGCGGCGGGGCGTGGGTCAGTGCGAGTCTCTGTCCACCTCCCGAGGTGAACCCGCCCTTCCCGCACACCCCAGCCAAGCCGCACCGCACCGTCCCTTACCCTAAAGCTAGCAGGTCCCGGGCCACCGCCTCCCCCTCCATGGAACTGTGGCCTCTGGCCGCCGCGCGCCCCCTTCAGGCGGTGGGGCGGGCTCCGCCCTGGCAGCGCCGCGCATTTGTAAACAGTCCTAACCAATCAGGTCTTCGCGCGAAGGATCTCCGGCACTCTGGTTGGGGTAGGGGCAGGTAGAACCCGCCCTAAACTCCGCCCACTCAGCTCACCTGGTAACCTGTCAGGGGGCTGTAAATTTGAGAGCTTGCATTCAGGATCCTGGGTGCGACACAAAAACAACTTCACTTTCCTTTTCCTCAGCCTCCTTCAGTTGTCCTCTGGTCTTAATGCACACCAGACCAAATGTTCATCCACGTTCATCTCCAAACCAGAAATTTACTTCCTCCTTTTCCACCTTACTTTGGGAATTGTCTATGTAGCCCAGGATGACCTACAAATTGCAATTTAGAGTCTGTTAAGGGGGTGGGGATGGGGGGATGAGACTGAGATTTGAACTCAAGGCCTTACCACTAAGCCATACTTCCAGCGCTGGTTACTTTAAGCTAGGGTCTTGTTTTTTGCCCAGGCCATGCCTGGATGGCAGTCCACCTGCTTTGGACTTCGTGCCCTAACTGGAGTGACAGATGTGTGCTACCACGCCCAGCTTCTTTCATTGAGATGAGTCTCGACTTTTTTTTTTTGGTCGGTCGTGGGGCTTGAACTCTGGGCCTGGGCGCTGTCCCTCAGCTCTTCAGCTCAAGGCGAGCGCTCTACCACTTGAGCTACAGCGCCACTTCCGGTTTTCTGGTGGTTTATTGGAGATAGGAGTCTCACGGTCTCTCCTGCCCGGGCTGGCTTTGAACTGCGATCCTCAGATCTCAGCCTCCTGAGTAGCTAGGATTACAGGAGTGAGCCACCAGCGCCCGGCGAGTCTCGGCTTTTCTGAGTTAACCAGGAACTGAGATTTTCCCTCCCATGAGATTTTAGCCTCCCATGTTATTGGGATGATAGGCACACTGTAAACAAGTTATTGGTTGAGAATGAGTCTTTGTGTATGGAACCACGATCTTCCTGTGCTCAGCCTTTCAAGTGCTAGCATTACAGATGTGAGTCACTGGCGCCTGGCTGTTAAGCACTTTTTATATAACTAGTTAACCTTCACAAACAATGTTGAGTATGTATTATTAAGGCCAGGTATGGTGATATATGTCTGTAATACCAGCTACTAGGGAAGCAGAAGTAGGAAGATTACAGTTGAGGCTGGTTCTGGAGAAAGCACAGGACCCTATCTGAAAAAGAAACAAAAGGACTGTGGTGTGCAAAAGTAGTATAAAGATTGGAGTAGTTCAATCTCCAGCTTGAATATGCTGGACAGACACACATAGTTTAATATGTACTCAATAAATAACAATGGATATATATTACACATTGAGTGTGTGCTTCTGGGGTAAATACTGTCCCCACTTTAAAAGTGGATACATAGTGTATTAGGGTCTAACCAAACTTCATGCTTTTAAATCCCTGAGCCTGTTTCTGTTATTGCTACCTGCTGATTTTGTTAATTTTTTTTAATCCTTGTTTCAGATCTAATTTCTTCCTGGCTGTCCTTATCTCCTGTGTAGGGTGACCTGGGAGCATCAGGAAACAATAAAGGCCTGAACTGGTCAGAGCCACAGCCTGCTCTTACCCTGCTCCTCTCCATAGCTCTGGCTGTGCCTAGGAGGTACCCAGAATGGCATTTATTGACTTCAGTAAAGCATTGAAATTACTGAGTCCAAAAATTTGGGCTTATAACCTTTTGAGTCCTCTTTTTCTCCCCTTCAGCCTTTTTTCTTTCCTCTTCTCTCTTCTTCTATTCTTTTGGTACAGGGAATAGAACCCAGACACACACAGGCAAAGCTCTGCCACAAGCTACACCCCACCCACAAGCCCTGATTCTATCAAACCCACCGAGAAATCAGTGTATTTTAACCTCTCCAAATGGATCCAATGTCCTCCGGCCCCTCCCCACACCCTGGGAGCTAGCACACAGGATCCACACCCTTCCTTGGTAGGGGACTGCTTATGACTCCAGCTCAAGACTAGAGTCAAAACCAATGTCCAGGACTGGGGTGTGACTCGGAGGATGAAACACTTAAACAGAAGGCCCTTCCTCCAATCCCATACCAATTAGAGAGAGAAACCAAAATCCATAGGAGGGCTTGCTTGGCACCAGACCTTCCCATACACCCATGTCCTCCCTTCCTCAGGAATCTCCTGGTGTCCTCCCCTCTAAGCACTTCCCTAACACTGTCTGTTCCCTCTTATTGGAATGCTCTTCCCTACAGACATGAACACATCCCCCTCATTTTTGTGGAGGTTCCTGAGTAAGACCTAATCTGACCATGGCCAAAACCAAGCATCTGTATCCCCTATGATCACTTTTTGTTTCTTAGTGAATAAAACAGTCAGGTGACTCATTGTCTCCCCCACCACCAGGAAGTTATAAACTCCCAAGGGAAGGGAGGATTTCTGCCTGTTTGCTGGGTTGGGTTCTGTGTGTGTGTGTGTGTGTGTGTGTGTGTGTGTGTGTGTCCCCACATATGTGCTGGGCCTGGGGGTATAAACTCAAGGCCTGGGTGCTATCCCTGAGCTTTGGGCTCAAAGCTAGCACTCTACCACTAAGGGTTTTGGGGGGATGGTTAATTGGAGTTTCACAGCCTGGCTTCAACCCATGATTCTCAGATCTTAGCCTCCTGAGTAGCTAGGATTGCAGGTGTGAGCCACTGGTGCTGGCTTTTTTATTATTTTATGAGGAGGAGGTACTGGGGTTTAAATTCAAGCCCTCAACCTTTTTCTTTAGTGTTTTTTGGGGGGGTCCGGTCATGGGGTCTGAATTCTGGGCCTGGGCGCTGTCCCTCAGCTCTTCAGCTCAAAGGCTAGCGCTCTACCACTTGAGCCACAACGCCACTTCCGGCTTTTTTTTCTTTTTGCTTATGTGGTGCTGAGGAATCGAACCCAGGGCCCCATGCATGCAAGGCAAGTGCTCTACCACTGAGCCACCTTCCCAGCCCCAAGCTTTAGTTATTTTTTAAATAGTGTCTGGGCTTTTTCCTTGGTCGGCCTCAGGACCAAAATTCTGTCTCCATCTCTTGAGGAAGCAGAGAGCTACCATGCCCAACCCTGTTCATTGGCTTCCTTGTGCCTACAAGGCTTGGCACCCTCATGAGTGTTCAATGAATGTACTTGCTGAGTGACTAAATGTGTATAACACCCAGGGACTAAAGGATGTAGAGGGAAAGGAGAACTGAGGCAGGAGACTCATCTACCAGTTCAGAAATGGGAGTGGACAAGGGCGCATCCACACAAATAAAGAACACAAGCCAAGTCTTTATCATAGACATTTCTTGGAGCAGATCTCAAGCCCCCCTCCCCCATGACAAGGCTGGGCCTCCGGCCCCCATCCTCCTACTTCAGCCTGCCGTGGTGCTAACGATAATTCAAGTCCCAAGACTGGCTTGGAATCAAGACCAGGAAGATAAGAGTTGGGGTGCCTCCCCCAAATCTACGGGCCAAGCAACCCATCTGAGGGGCAAGCAGCTGGGAAATCTCACCTGGGGGCTCCAGGGTCTGAGGTCTTCCTGGCTCCCAGGGTCAACCCTCCAAGCACCCCTGATTTAGGGGGGGAGTGATGAAGGGCAATCATGGATCAAGAGGTGGGTATCAGCAAGGAGCAAGAGGGCTAGATCTGGGAGAGGTGGGGCTGGGAGGTGGAGGCCCCGGAAAGAACCTTCTGGGGGTGGGGGGGGCACCACTTTATCCAAAGATCTCACAGCACTGTACAGCACTCTGGTCTCCCAGCCCACCCCCCTCCCCCAAACGAGGTAGGTTTTAAGAATGGAGCTTCCCCCCAGCCCACCACAGAAGGGGGGGAGACCGAGGCACAGAGAGGGGGATGGGGACCCAAGCCGCCCCCAGCCCCTCTGCCCTCAGCTCTGGTGGGGTGACAGCAATGAGAGCTGGGCAGAGTAGGGACGGGAGGAACACCCTCCCTTCTTTTTCTCTCACCCATCCCAGGGTCTGGTTTGGGAGAGCTGAATCTCACAGGTTCCGGATGCAATAAATAGTTAATAATTTAAAGTGACAGAACAAGCTATGCCTTGAAGGACCCCTCACACACGCACACACACACACACAAGGCCATCAGAGTGTGGGTAATGAAGAAAGGGGTAGTAAGTGCACATTGCTAGATGCTTGGGGCCAGAGGCAGGTCCAAAGCCATTTAAAAATATATATTTTTTGAGACATTCTTGCTACAAGACCTTGCTATCTCCCATTCTGGACAGATCTTAGGTGCGCCAGCCATCTGGTCCCACTCAGGACAGAGAGTATGGCATTCTCCCTGGATGAAGCTCGGAGAGCAGTATCATAAAGCCTTTGAAGCATTCTAACTCTGACACAGAAGAGGAGGGGTAGGTGGACTTGGGCCAGGGTTAGTGCTCAGGGTTGGACTTTAGGGGGATCTTCAAGGCTGGGGAATAGGGGTTCCCACAGAGTGAAATTGCTTTTGTGCCAATCAGAAAAGGGCAGGACAAAATGGACTATACAGCTAACGGTGGGGACAGGAGGGAAAAACTGGGAGGGAGCAAAGGAAAAGGTGACATTGTCCAAAAAGAAATGTACTCTTTACCTGACTTATATAACTGTAACCCCTCTCTGTACATCATCTTTATAATAATGAAAAAAAAATTTTTTTAAGGCAGGCCTTGTCTGACTGCCTGAACTGGCCACCAGGTGACTCTAAAGCCCTGTGGTCATTGTCTTCATTGTGTGCCTTTGTTTAACAAACAGCTTGCATAATCCTCTGTAACAAAGCCAGGCCATAAGAGGTGGGAGTGGGGAACTCCTGTAATCTAAATTAGGATAGAGGGGGGGTTGGATGGGATTGGAGGTGTGACTCAGTTGGTAGAGCACTAGCCAAATGAGAGAAAGTGTCAAGTACTGAGTTCAAGTCCCAGTCTCAGACCTTAAAAAAAAAATGGGGGGTGGCTATAGAGAGTAATTCTAAGGCTGCTGGGGGCTTGGGCTAGGGTCCTGGGGAC